CGTTGTGGCGAACCACCCACTGGCAAATATCTTTCTGTGTTTCTGCTCGGTACGTGTTATCGAAATATTCCGGCTCTGTGTTTCGAGCAGTCATTGACACAGGACTGCGTGCTGAGCGAATACTTAAAAGCCACCGCATTTTGCAGTTTATTCTGTGTGTGTTTATGTCTCGATCCAAGTGTTATCTCGTGAAACGCCCGCCTGTATTTGCAGACTGATCGAGTATGTAAAGGAGCTGGAATGACAACAACACATAAGGCGCCTACAAAATGCTATGTGGTACAAAGTAAATATTGAGCCTAAAGTGGTGTTTTAGGGTACGTGGTCTACCAGCATTTCCGGAAAGCGTGCCGCTTTTCCTTGGTCCGGTACCCCTTTTCCCATTTTTATTGAGGGGATGAGGGGTGCCATTACGGGTTTTAGCCTCTGGTGAGACCCGTCCTAAACTCCAAAACCTTGCGCGAGTAGTACAGCATGAACAGGCTCCTGGCAGAGGGGAACATGTCTGCTGAATCTGATTAGAGTAGGCCATAAGCCCGCACAGGAGAAAGCCGCAGATTCTAGCAGCATTGAACTCCGACACAAGATGCTTTGGCACGTCCAATCCTTCAAATATATTCAAGGTAATAATGGCAATTAGCGGGCGTAGCGCAACCCTGACCTCCACAATCATCAAGTGGGATTACAAGGCTTGAGCAACTGAAAGCTCCGTCGCCGGCAGCACTTCTTCAGCAGCCTTCATAAGCGTGGGGAAGACGGCGACAGTTCTCCCGGATCCCGCTTGGCATCGTCGCAAGCGTACGTTCATAGCTCACATTTCCACTAACGCACACACGCGTGCATAAATATTATATGCATTAAAGTGCGACGCTAATGCAACAGACATCGCATGCCATTACAAAAGGCAATGACGGGAAACCATATACCATCGCATGCCGTTTTACAAGCACAACGCTATATCATTGCGGTGATTACATACAGCAGCATGATGCCACAATGTGACTTCCCGAACAGATGAAAAACAGAAAACCGCAACAGTCTGCTATAGCTTTTTATCATCGTTATTCCTCAATAAATAAATATATGATTAATCTTGTCTGAGAGTAACCAGACTAGAGAGGGCTAAAGAGGGCCCAGCCATTCTTTGGTGTCGCGCCTGTTCCATTCCGTCTGAAAACGTAGCAGAAAAAGACAAATTGTACTTTTTATTAATGTACTCGTCAACCATACAGACCAACTTGGTGGGGGTTATCATTTTGGACTACTTTGGAGAGGGGAGACACCTCAGAAAGGCCTCTGCCCTAGTGCCTTACAAAATTGCATTATTGCGATCCACAGCGTATCACTACAGATACTTTTTTAGAAGCCGCCATGCTTGCTAACCATGATAAACATCTTTTGGCTTATATTGTGAGGTTAGGATGTGAATTATGCGAACAACAGTACATCATTAATGACACTGCAGAATTTCCTTCATTTTGGCTATGTGTTCCATGGACACCTTAAACCACATGAATAGATAAAGCCTAACTTCTATAAATCTTTTATGGCTTCGACGCCAGCCACAACATTCCACACAAGCGTCGCGCAACACATGGATTGCTTAAGCCAGAAGCGGGAATGTTTGACAGCAGGGCGCCATTTCCACTCCTTGACAGCTTGCAGTCGTCTTCCCTCCTTCAATAAGCGTCCTGCAAGAGTCGACACTTAAAAAAAGTATTAGGGGATTCCGTCCAAGAAGGGACAGACGTTGGCCAGTAGAACTTCAGCAAGGTAGCAGGCTTTTTACTAATGCAAAAGCGGCATGATCAACAAATACATCAACAATTCAATATTAATAAACTTTTCTGGCGACAACGTTTGCGGACATCCCATACTTTACAGAATCGTAGCTTAATAGATTATAATGAGCAATGCAATTTGCTAATGGGATCAAAACCTGACTTAGCTTCAACATCAACACTCATAAAAATATCTTACGCGAAGGCGCCAGGGTCCACTGCGGATTTAAGTGCGTTTTTCATTATGCATGCTTTGGAAGGGTACAACAAATGTCCGTAGTTAAAAGTTAAAAAATTATCGGCTTTATGGTTGTGGTCATGTGGTGGACCTTTAAATGATCGTTGGACCTTGAAATCGAAAAAAGAACACTTGTCTTTGTAGTACCAAGGTTACGCCAGCTGATGACGTCTCCCGGCAGACGGACGCAACGTGACTTGTCTGCGCCAATTTTCTTTGTTGCACGACACGTATGCCACAGAGCACACATTGTATGCTCGGACCTCTGTGCTGTCTGCATTGCTGCACTGCATCTTGCCGTATGTGCCATCATCTGCATGACCAGCCGAATACGCAGACAAGTCCATAAATGTGCAAGACATCTGGATTGCAGGGACAGCGGCGTCGACGCGTGTTTTTCAGAGCAGGGACTGTGGAAGTTTGGTGTGGGGCGGTGGCTGTCCCCTCTTCCATCTCCCGACTTCCGACTTTATACGTTATTTTGGTATTCACTTCTGCATATATCGTGCCGCCCGCCATAAATGCTTCGTACTTATCTAGGCTGTGGCACAATGCTAAAGCCAGCCAATCGGACGCCTTCGAACCAGACATGACACCAGAACCAGTGAACTGAAGGTATGGTGTTATGATAGGAGCCCCGGGGTACTTAGACACATTAAAATGAGCCACAGGTGTTGTCATCAGCGCTGAGGTCACCTGTGACATTTTTAGATCTCTCAGTTGTAGCATTTCGGAGTTAAAGCCTGCGGCAATGTCGAGTTGCGTGGTCGCAAGGTTACCTTCGGTGACAATTTTTTCCACTTGCTTGGAAGAATATTTTGTAAACCTATACGTTAAGGCGATCACAAAGCTGTCTTAAATATTTACATGCCACTCTTGAAATCGCCATTGCACATTGGATAATAGTCAGGGCATTATGAACTTTTATGTTTTTATTTTTATGAGTTTATAATTATGAGTTTTTGGCCAAATTGTCAGAACCCATAGTTGCAGTGACCATGCATCACTTTACGGCCCGGCAATAAGGCAATTGTCAATAATCTTTAAAACGGCTGCCTGAGAACGAAGCTTTGATCATTTAAGACTTTTCAGAACACCGCCATTTCGTCGTCCAAGACGAACCCTAGCAATTTATTGGGGTACACCGCAATCTGCGCTGCACCTCCTCGCGGTATATTGACCATAGCCCGGACAAATTACGCTTTAAAGTTATCGCGCGCTGTCAGACGCGATGGAACATAGCCTATTGCGGCCCATGCATATCTACAGTACCTTTAACCGGACGTGAAAAGCCTCGTTTCAAATATGAAGTGTACTACTTTTCAGGTGGATCAGCTACGCAATACATGCTTTCATGAGGACTTTGGTGCGAAGTGCGAGTGGCGTTGCTTTGCCGCATTCCGTGGAAAGAGCTCTTGCGACGGGGTCGGGAACCTTGAAAATGGTTGCTACCAGTGTCAGCCTGTCGCGACTTCATTCCGATCATATTCTCTCTGCTGAGAAGCTTATGCCAGTACTTGCAAGGCAGGGCTAATGTGCTGACGTAATGTTCCTTCGTACAAAAAAGGAGAAGTCCTTCGGGCAGAGGATGCGCATAGCATCAGGTTGGCTAGGGCCAAGACTGTCAAAGAGACTCTTAAGACTCACAGAGTAACCCAATGAGTGCTCAGTCTGGCATTGTCCGTGAGGTAGATTTAGGCTTTAGGAGGGAAATAACAGACGCTTGATTTCAAAAGTTTTGATGAGTTAGGGTGAGTTGGACTGAGTCAATGGCGCAATGGGTTGACTTCCACGCGTAGGTTAGCCATCGTGCTGTCAAGCTTAGTGTTTTCTCACAATGCGCTCAGTTTCCACCGCCTGTGCGGAGAAACGCGTGAGAGGAACTGCGCAGGCAGCCGACGGCGAATAGCGCGAATGAAGGGATAAACCCTTATTGTGATACTGTTTCCAAGCCTTTCTAAGCCGATGACCACCTTTCTATTTTTGTATTATGGGGTTAAAATAACGCTCTATCACATGCAAATGGCAAAAGGTTTAAAGCCGCGAAGGAAAATGATTCTGCATGCATTACAAATGCCCATAATAACATCAACATTTCTTGAGCAATGACGGTGCCAATCATGACACACACGCAATCTGGAATATTTTTGGATCATTTTGACACGTAGGTTTGTACGCTTTTTCAGTGTAGTGAAAAATCGCCACCGAACGCAGCTCTTCAACCATACAACACGAAAATCGCCGCCGAACACAGCCCTTCAACCACACAACACGAAAATCGCTGCCGAACGCAGCTCTTCAACCACACAACACGAAAATGCGGGGGGGTGTACCTCCAAAATCGCAAAACTGAGGGACCTTTGAATGTCACAGGCGTCTTCAGCGTCACTGACCGCCCTTTTTTCTCGTTTTTATGAAAATCCGAAAGATGAGGATGTAAAACTGAACCTTAGAACTGCCGATTTGTCATGGAATGCCCCAATTAATTATCTCGGCAATCTCGGTCTTCATTTGCCGCTTTGCCCTTGAGACTGTTTTACCCGTTGCTGGTTTTATTGATGAAATGTGCTAGTGTTCCCCGTAGGGATTCGAATGAAACATTAATGATTCGACGATGCAACAAGCAACTTGTCTTTGCCTTGAGACTAACTCACGTACGGTTACCGGCAGGAAACTGAAGAAAATGTCCACCCAGTCAGAACCCGCCGGCGACAAGACTCCTGATGACGTCAGTAGAGCAAGGACGTCACCTGGTCCCGGTGCGCCGGCCGCCGCTGCTGGACCGGACGGCGAGGCGGCCGGCACAGGGGCCGGCCACCGGCGGCTCAAGTTCAGCATCGCCAGCATCATGGACTTCGCCGAGGCGGACGAGCTGACGGCCGGAGGTCGGCGGGAGTCAGATGAGTCGGGGGAGCCCGAGGAGCGGAGCGGTCTGGGAGAGGAGCCACCGGAGCCACCGCAGCCACCGGAGCAGGAGGGGGCGGGAGGAGCCGGGCGAGCCGGAGCGATCCCTGCAGGGCCGACTGGGCCTTCTGCCGGGCGGTGACGGCGCCAGCCTGCTGCGCCACTCACCCTGGCTGTACCAGTACTACAGCCTGGCGTCGGCTGGCGTGTTCCCGCCGCTCTCGTCCTACTCGCTGCTCTCCAAGTCGTCAGCTTTTAGCAAGTACACGGCAGCGCTGGCCGAGCCGGTGGCCGCCACACAGACGGTCCCGGCGCCGGCGGGGACGGACCGGAGCGCGACCGACACGACCGCGCCGCGTCCGCCCACCGCCAAGAGCAAGACCTTCACCTGCCCCGAATGCGGCAAGGTGTTCAACGCGCACTACAACCTGACGCGCCACATGCCAGTGCACACGGGCGCCCGGCCGTTCGTCTGTAAGGTGTGCGGCAAGGGCTTCCGCCAGGCGTCCACCCTCTGCAGACACAAGATCATCCATACGTCAGAGAAGCCGCACAAATGCAAGACGTGCGGCAAGGCCTTCAACAGGAGCTCCACGCTCAACACGCACATGCGTATACACAGCGGCTACAAACCATGGGTCTGCGAGTTCTGCGGCAAGGGCTTCCACCAGAAGGGCAACTACCGCAACCACAAACTCACGCACAGCGGCGAGAAGGCGTACAAGTGCCACATCTGCAACAAGGCGTTCCACCAGGTCTACAACCTGACGTTCCACATGCACACGCACAACGAAAAGAAGCCGTTCATCTGCGAGCTCTGCGGCAAGGGCTTCTGCCGCAACTTCGACCTGAAGAAGCACACAAGGAAGCTGCACGACGTGGACGCGCCGGCTGCTGGCGGTGACGCGGGCAGCTTCAGTCCTCACTTCGCCGGCGGCGGCGGCGGGGTGCCGCTCATCGGCTCCGGGTACTCACTGGTGCCGCCCGGGGGCGGCCTACTGCCGGCGCTCGGGCCGCCTTTCCCCTTCCCTGCTCAGCCCCCACTCGGGCTCCGGTCTGCTGCGGCTGCCCTACCTGGACCGGCTGCACTACCCACCCGCGCTCTGAGCCGACGGCGGCCGCCGTACCCGGACCGGTGACCTCGCCTAGGACAGCGGCCCTACCTGGACCATCTGTCCTAACAGGACCGGCTGCACTGCCCGTCCGCACTCTGACCCGACCGCCGCTACCCTGCCTGGACCGGCTGCCCAACATGCACCGGCTGCCCAACCTGGACCGGCTGCCCAATCTGGACCAACTGCCCAGCCTGGATCTGCTGCCCACCTACGCCAGTTGCACGACCGGCTCGCACTCTGAGCCGACTGCGGCTTCCCCGCCAAACTCCACCAGGCTACAGCTGAGATCCCCAGCGATCGGTTTCCCTGCCCAAGCTACGCCAGACTACAGCTGAACCCCCTGCGATCGGTTTCCGTGCCCAAGCTCCGCCAGGCTACAGCTGAGGCTCCCTGCGATCGGTTCCCTCCCTGCCCAAGCTCCGCCAGGCTACAGCTGAGCTCCCTGTGGATCGTTTCCCTGCCCAAGCCTCCGCCATCTACAGCTGAGCGCTCAGGGCTACAGCTGAGCCGCCTGCGATCGGAGTCGCCACTCCTCAGCGGCAGCAGCCAGCTGTCCAGGCCGCCGTGGCAGGCTCTCACAGCCAGCTGTCCAGGCCGCCGTGGCAGGCTCTCACAGCCAGCTATCCAGGTCGCCGTGTACAGGCTCTCACAGCCAGCTGTCCAGGCCGCCGTGGCAGGCTCTCACAGCCAGCTGTCCAGGCCGCCGTGGCAGGCTCTCACAAGATCACCGAACGAGTGTCGCGGTGCTCCGGATGGCAGGCTGTGGCTAAGTTATCCATGCCACGCTGTGAAAAACATGACCTGAGGAACAACTGTTCGGTTAATACCCCGAGCATCCGTGCACCCAGCTAGTCCCAGCGTCTCGGTGGAAAGCTAGAGACGGCAGCGCACACTTTTGTGTGTGGTTCTGTGGCCGTGGTCTCGCTGAGGCCTGCACTGAGATCGTCGTCCACATGCACATGAGTCCGATGTATGTGGCTGTGCTTCAGGTCATGCGACGGATGGAGGTCACTGAGTAAAGCCTGCTGTCCAACTTGTCGTTGTTAAATGTCGCCTCTGTTGATGTACCAAATATGTTGTGCAATACTTGACAAGTGCTTTGCTCTGGTGACAACCGTCAACAATGTGACCATAACTTTGTTGTTCTTCTGAAAAGATAACCTTTTTGCTGACTGTGTCATCTGTGAAGGACCACTAGCATCTGTGCGACAGCGATTTGTCGGGCAGCGTACCATCGTGATAGGCATCGTCCCTGGACTGGCTCAGTCAGCTTACATTACATTATGTTCAATGTTGCGGGGCATATAAAGTTTATTTATGCATGTGATATGTGGTCTGACGGAAATATAGACATGAAGATACGAAATTCATCGTCTTCGTCGGCTCAATAAAGAAGTCACAACGGAACAAAACTAAATGGCGATAACGGAATGTGACGGTCAGCGAACGGGAAAACGGTAACGTGACGGTCAGTGAACAGGAGAACAAGATCACACTTCACGTGATCGCAACAAATTTCAACAGATCTAATCGCGCTTGATACGACTGAGTAAAGCACGCTGCCTTTCAATATTCATAACTATGAAAGTTTACCCGCCTTGCAAGCTCAAGGTCAGAAAATTGAAGCCAGAACCTCGCCTTCGAGGTCCATGCAAAGGGCAATGCATAAGCAAGCGATGCGTGAGCGAACTATGTGAAATATATTTAGGAGCCTGAGTTGCATACCTTGCAGTCGTCATCGTTTTCAGAGTGGGCGGCGCTACACAATCGCAATCGTTTCGCATGCGATGACGCACCGGGCCCCGTAACGGTCTGACTGCGCAGTCATGTCAAAGTCAAAGTTGACGCCGTCATCATGGAGAAAAGGCATGCGAACAGCAGCGACAAAAGTTCACCACGATTCCACTTGCCAGCAACGTTGTGCAGAGGGCCCTGAGTGGTCGTGCTGCAGCGGGTCTAAGCTATCCTGCGGCCGGCAGGGGTCGGAGTCTTGCGCTTGCGGGCAGGGCGCAGCCAGAGTCGGAGTAAGGGGAGGGGGCACGGGGTTGACAAAGGGCCCCATAATGGTGAAACAGAGAACTGCAACACCAGTCATCGGTGTTTTACGTCATTTGTTTCACTCGTTGATCCTCAAATGGATGAACCTCCTCAGATACACACACGGGCTGACCTTTTTCATGTTTGACCTCGTTTCAATCCTCTCTCTTGCACACATACCTCTTAGACCTGTTACCCTTTTCCGGGCAGGTGTCCCCGTAGGTTCCCCGGCTAGTTTTTCTTTCGGCTAGGTGGTTAAGATCATCCCATCGCAGCGCGGGGTGCCTACCAGCTGCTATTCTAGCGACACAGGGATGGGTTCCCTGACAATCGGGAGGTCCTTAGAGGGCCACATCATACATTGGATCCCGCCCTGACGCGGGAGGCTCTCTGACTCGGACAGCTGGCCCTGGGTGGACGCAGCAGCCATCATTGATGCGAAAATATAGCTTATCACCGCAGAGGTCCAGTGATTGGCACAGAGGCTCTGGTTCGGCTAAACGGACCCTAGACAAAAAAAGACGATGGAGGGTACCCTGTCCGGTGCTGGGTACTTCCATTGTCTTATTGTAGACTTCATTCATAGGTTCTCATTTTTCCTTTTATTATCACAGGGTCCCAATCGATACAAGAGGCCCCCTGATGTTCGAGGTCCCGTCCCTGCCCGTGTTCAGCAAACATTCCCGTGGCGCCTTGGGCCCCTCGCGGCCACAGCGCCTCCTGTTCAGCGCTGTGAGCTCCTGAGAGACACAAGGCATCTGATGATTTCAGGAGCCCCGGCCAATGTATAGCGCGTGCCCCGGCCTGCTTACACCCCCGCTTGTGGAATGGACCCGCAGGGCTCAGACCAACACGGAAAAGACTGTTGGGTGTTGGTGATTGCTGACAGAAGGGGGGTCCGCATTGTCCCAGGGGGTCCTCAATCGATGCGACAGGCACTCTGACTGACATTTGAGAATCTGGGCCCACTGACCTGGGGTCTTCATATGACCTACAGCAAACCTTTCGGAACACTCGGCCCTCGAAACGGCCCTTGAATACTCGGTCCCGAGGGGAACTTCGGGCCCCTTTTCGGTATCCCTCGAACACTGCCTCTGGCCGAATCGGACCCTTGCTAACACAGGACCTCCTGTTAGGCACTCTGAACACCTGACGAACACGGTGGCCCCGCATCAACTCAGGAGCTCCGACTTACGCAAATCGCGGGAGCCGGCCATGTTCCTGCTCGGGAAGTGGACCCTCAGGCTTAGGCCGACACAGAGCCGCCTTTTCGATACTGTTGGCGCCTGACTAACAGAGGCCCACATCAACTCAGGGGCACCCAGTCGGGACAAAGGCCCTATGACTTGAGGGTCCGGCCCCGTGGGCCGGAGTCCCGTAATACGATTATCTCCAGCCTGCCATTCGGGCGCTCCAGTCGGAGCCATGATTGTTGATCGCGAGGACCCTGAGGACCTGGTCACGATCTCCGACCTCCAGGCCCCGAGGGTCCGGCCCTGCGGGCTGGGGCCCCTGAGGCAATGCACAACACGCTGACCTCCGGCCAGGCTTCAGCGCCTTCGAACCCTCAAATCGGGCTCTTGGTCGGCATTCCCGAGGGGAATAGGTAGGGCACGTGCCCCGTTGGCTCCGCTTGTCTGCACTGCCGCGTGTAAGCACACCCGGAAGCACCCGTGTCTAGCAGTCAGACAAGGGATAGGGGACAAGCCAACGTCAGGAGGAACCGCAGCGCCGGCTGCCAGCTGTCCGTGGAAAGGTCAGCGGACCGACGCGGGGCATTTGACGGGCGTGCCGGCGGCGGCGGACCCTGCCGTCTGGCGCGCGCCTCTCGGCCTGCGCCTGCGCCTGCGGCAGCTGTGGAGGCCGGCCGGCCGGCGCAGGGGCGCGGCGAGAGGCTCCCGTCCCGCTCGCCGGGGGGCGGGGGGGGGGGGGGGCACGGTTCTCCCACGGCGAGCGGCCTTGTCGCGCAAACACAGAGAGTCGGGGAGACTGAATGGCGCCGGCGGATTAGGCCGCGGCCCGGCCTGCCATTCAGGGGCCGTGACCGACGCCGGCGTCCTGACCGGCTCGGCTCGCTCCGGGCGCGTGCGAGTGGGGCAGAGGGTGACAGTGCCACTGACTTTCCTTCAGACTACACAACACACGGCCGGATGTGTTGCAAATGATGATAACATGTAATCGAGGCCGTGGACACCATGACCATGGTCGCCCTGCTGACGCGTCAGGTTCGATGAAAACATCAACAAATGTTTCCACAATAACGCCTGAAGATGATGCGCTGCGTCTTCTGCAAACACAGTCTCGCTTTGAACGCTATACTTGTCGCTAAATATCACCAAGTTGCGTAACGGAACCAGGAACACAGTCAGAGTCTTGGCAAGGAAGGGGAGGGGGGGGGGCACAGGGTTGGCAAGGGCCCCTTGATAGCTAAAGGGCCCCCCCCCAAAAAAAATCGCCGGATATGGCCCATTTGTTATTGAAGACAAGTTCTCCTAGATATTATATGTATATATTTATATACGTAATAAATGTTGTATATACATAAATGTTATGCATATATGATCAATGTTATATATATATATATATATATATATATATATATACATAACATACCCTCTATAACTGGAATATCGGCCAGACGCTACCGCGAAATCAATTCTTCCTTAGGTTTGGTTAAATAAACTGACAAAATCACGGATCAATAACTACATAAAATAAATAGACGGCTATTCGTTTTACAGTTGTCCAGTGGTCTCTTTATAAACCGATAGAACTCACAAGTTTTGTCAGAATTTGTATCAGGGTAGCACAGAGATAGCAAGGATTCTGCGAATGTAGATCGAAGACTAAATGGGTTAACAATTTGTATTACCGTGGCCAAGCCAATGCTTGTCTGGAAATCTTCAACATTCAGTCAGAGCTGATAAGCGGGACAAGTTATGTGACGTAGTTCTA